TTACTTTTTTAAGTAAACATTTTAATTATTTCAGTTAACCTTTAATACAAGTTTTTTTGTAAATCAACCTCTAACTTTAATTCTGCAACTTTATTTACAGATTTTATTTAGTACATTTTAGGATTTCAAAATGAATCAGACACAAGCTTGTAGCGGATTCAAGGGGACACAAAAGTTTTCTATTCGTATTTTTTGACGTTTTCTTCCTTCGAATAATAATAATTCTTCTACGAAAACAGATCATTTGATTGTGACATTACATTGACCTCTCAGATAACGTTTAAAAAATGATATTCAAGCCACATAACTTTAATAGAGAGCAAAAATCTAGATTTAAACTAAAAAAAATTTTAAAACGATTTAAAAGTTTAGAAAATTTCTTACAAAATTTTGCATACTTTTGGGGGTTTTTAATTATTATTTTATATTTTATAACAAAAAAAATAAATGAATTTTTAATTAAATCATAAACTTTTTGCAAAAAAAAACACAAAAAAAATAACACAATTAGCAAAATTTAAAAAAACTTTTTCCACAACTTCGTCAAAATTTGCAAATTGCAAAAATTTATTACAAACTTTAACTGAAAATTTTGAAGTTAAAATATTAATTGTTGTTTTATTTTATAAAAACTGCATTATAGATTTTTCGGAAATATCAGAATTCGTAAAATTAAATATTTTAGTTCTGATAGAAAACTAATTCGTATTTAAATAACGAAGTCTGTGGATTTTCTTAATTTTAACAAAGATTCCGGTGTAATAGCAAAATTAACAAATTTTTGTACCTTCTTTTTTTTAGCGAAAATTACACTGAAAAATTTTTTAAATTATCTTTACTGTTTTGTACACTGATTTGCCATTAGCTTTCCTTAATAATATATTTTGAGTGAATACCTCCTCATGGTACACCCAATTTTTGAGAAATTTTTCACATCGCTTAGTACAAAGTGTAGGGTACAGTTTTTTTGAAACATCCGTATATATAACCAAACTCTGGTATACTTTAATCGGGTTTTAATTTAAAAACTAAATAATACTTTCTCATTTCAATAAAATTAAGTTCAGCCAAACCAATTGATGAAAAGAAAAAAAAATGACAAGAATAATTTTTCAACACTTAATTCAGAAACTCCTCTCAAATCACTTTAGAATTAATTAATTGCAATAATATATTTTCTCTCTGTTTTTAATTCAATCCATAATTAATAAAATGACAAAAACCCGAAAACCAAAAAAAAAAAATACAAAAAAAAAGGATATTAAGCACTCAATTTACCATGTCAGAAAATCATTAACAAAAATGATCATTCATTATTATTAATGCCTTGCATATATAATTTACACACATTGAAACAAAAAGATATAGGTACATTCATGTTTGAACATATTACACCCCAAGTATACACACAGAAATTTTTTTACAATTCCAAATCTTTTTTTAAACACATGTTTGTATAGTTAGTTTTTGACAAATAATTGTAATAAATTTTAAAATTAGCACATTTTTACCGACCGTATTGTGTAAACAATAGGTAGGTTATGTGATGGCAACAAATTTTGCATATCGAGTTTTCGGTGGGAACGTACTTCTCCATAGTAGGGTAGTGTAAATAAACTATTTTTAGCAACCTGTCGGTCTGTCGGTCTGTCCGTCTGTCGGTCTGTCGGTCTGTCGGTCTGTCGGTCTGTGTGTGCACGCGTGTATCTCAAGTTCGGCTGAACCGATTTTGATGAAATTTTATATGTAAGTTTGTTTCCACCATGGCACGGATCGATCAACTTTTGGTATATATCAGGCCTCGGGAACTGCACTTTTTAGCGGGCCTGTTTTACATTTTTGAACATTTTGAAGAAAGTATTCAACCGATTTACTTGAAATTTTATATATAAGCTCACCTCGACCGTCCGCAAAAATTCATATGTTTTGGAAGAAATCAGGCATCGGCAACTAGATGTTTACTACGGGCCAAATATACATTTTTGTGTATATAAAGAGAAATAATCAACCGATTTCATTGAAATTTAATATATGAACTCCTCGTATTAAAACAATCAACATATAACTTTTTTGGAAAGATCAGGGCTCGAAAACTGATTTGCGGGCCGATTTTACATTTTTCACCATATCCACAGAACAAATTGATGGAATTTCTTGAAATTTGATATTTGAGTTCTGGTTGTTACCGAAACTAACTGGCGAGCATTTCAGGGAATTCGGGTAGCACAAAGCGAAACTCTACTAAGAGCCAAATTTACATTTTTCTAAGTATGTTAACTATAAGCTTACTAATATCCTAAAAATTGGAAAAAAGTGTTTAACAGACATTTTTATAATATTCTGAAACACTTTCATTTAATTAGACAATACACAATGCGGTCGGTTATGTGCTGACCACATCAGATTTTTTTAAATAAGTTATCTGTAAGAATAAATTAATAATATATAATTTTATATATATATACTTTTAGTTATTATGTGGAAAAATTATGTTAACCGGTTTTTTGATTATATTCGGTCAGTTTTCATTCAACAAATCATACTTTGTGTTCAATTACTCGTACAATTTAAAATCAAACAAGAAAGATTTTCCGATATTATCAATTTTCACTGATTTCAACTACACTGCTGCCAGTGTGCAATTATTTTTACTTTTTAATTTTTATGTATATATGTGCACAATAATTTACACCAATTAGTAATTTTTTTTTTTATTTGAAAAGCTGTTTTTCTTTACTAATTCTATTATATTTCAAAAACCTGAAATAATAATTTTCAAATTTAAATATTTATACGTACACATAGCTATAGAAAAATAATAAGTAAAAATCTTGAATAACTTATAAAACTATATGGAATTAGCAAAGTCCTATGCTCGCAAATGAAATACAAAAAATATTTACATATAAGCATGTACATATATTTCAATATATATACTTTAAACTTGTTAAATAAGTGATCAAACTTTTATTTTCAAAATGGTTTTTAAAAGAAATTTTTTATTTAACTATCAATTAAATTGCTATTCAATAGCTCTAATCAAGATAATAAAACTTATTGATTACTGAAAAAAGTTCAAAACTCAAAAACTTTTTTTAATTTTAAAGCGTTTTTTTAATTTTAAGCAATCATTCAATAATCAAACACAAAGTGTTTACAATTTTAATTTGAAATTTGAAAAATTCATTCAATAAACCACCAAAAATTTATAGAAAAACAACACAATTAAATTGTTTAATATGGAGAAATCAAAACAAATAAAAAAAGCGAAAATATTATGTTTTCTTTTTTACATAATAAAATTTTCTCATATGTACAATTGCAATATTTTTGTAATTGTTTTTTTCGTTTTCTTATTTTAATTTTTTTTGCTTATTTATTAAATTATTAAATAATGCATCATAATATTTACACCTACACCTACTAACATATTACTCTATCTACAATATATTTAAATTAAATATATTAAATATTATAAGAATAATGAAATAAAAATTTTCAACAAAATGAAACGAAAAGACAAATCAAATTTATTATTGTTATTATTATTGCTTACATAAAAAATGTGTATGTGTATCATTTATTTACTTATTTACTTATGTTTTATTTATTAATATCATTAAATATAGTTGATTTTTCTCTCTTTCAATCCATAATAACACATTTATGTTTATATATATATACTATAGTATTTTCTCACTTTTCTCATTTTATAGCCATAAATTATGTTTTACTAAAAATCATTCAATGAGATTTTTCCTTTAACAAAAATTGAAAAATAAAAAAATAGAAAAACAGAAAAATTTAAAGGATATAAAATGAACTATTTTGTTCTTCTTTTTCTCAGATTTTCATTGCTTATATAACATTGACATTTTTTTTAATATTTCCTTTTAGTAACTATGATAAAATGTCAGCTGAAAATATTTAATAACAATTGTTTGTTTCTGAATTAGCAACACAAACAAAATTTTAACTATTATTAAATAAAAAAAAAAAAATATTTGATTTAATGAAATTTTTTTATTGATTAAAAAAAAAAGTCGTCTTTTTTTTTTTGTCTTTACAAATCAACTCTGCATTTCATCTGCAGAAATTTCAAGGACATAACGGTTCATTTTTTGGAAAAATATACAAAAAATACAAAAACAAGAAATTCTACACACATTTTATATATTAAAAGATGTTTTATAGAAAAGAAAAAGGATATTAAAAGAAGAATAAGTCGTGCACCGTACAATACACTCAAAAAAAAAAAAAATAAGAAATATTAATAAACTTAAATTTTTTGTTTTTTTTTTTCTTTTTTTCTTAAAAATTTATTTGATATAATTTTTTATTATTATTATTAGAATAATTCCTTCCTTTTTCTACTTATTTTTTTATTATTTGTTAAACTTTATTAAATTTTATTTTTTGCCTTTTTTTAATGAAATTTCTTTTTTACTTATTATTTATATTTAATTTTCTTTTAAATAAATAACCTTTTTTTCTCAAAAAAAACAAAATTTCGTATGCAAAATCTACGTACGCTTTTTTATACATATGGTACATAAATACATACACATATATACATTAAGTCCTTTCCTTTCCTTAAGCACTCTATTGTACAATCATAATATATGAAATATTTTAAATTTAACATACAAATACAATTTTTCATCACACACATATTATGTGTACACACACAGCACACATAATATTTTCCACATTAATGATTATATAGTTAAAGAAAATGGAAAAAAAGGACACGTTTATTATTTATTAACTAATATAACACACCCTCGATTTTATGTTAACTTTGCATAATAAAAAATAAACAGAAGGAATATGAAATAATAACAAACCGAACAAAAAAATAGAAAAAAAAAATAAATGAAAATTTAAGGGAAAACAACGAATTTTTATATAAAAAGTTTTGTGAAAGAAAATCCTTTCAAGGACATTTATTTCACATTTTCATTTTTCTAAATTTTCTTTTTTTTTCAATATTTACTCACATTTATTTTATTATTAACTGCATACTATTATTATTAATTTTTATTTTTTATAAAATTTATGAAAATTTAATTTTCTTATTTTCAAAAATATTTTCAAATTTTTACACAAAATTTTTAGATTTTCTTATAAAAAACAGACGCAGACACACATATAAAAACCACAAAGATATTAAATTTTTAATTAAAATTTTTTTTTTTATTTTTTTTTTTATTTATTATACTTAATTAATATGAAAAATTTTAATTAATCTTATTATAAAAACAACAAATTTAAATTTATAATCCTTTTTTGTTAAAAATCGAATTTGATTTGCTTTGAAAAAAAAAGAAAAAATTCAGTCATTTCATTCACAAAGACAAAGAGCAAAAAAGTACAAATTTGTTAACCCTTTGGTTCAGTTTTCCGTTTTCCACACCAAGAACGTAATAGAGTTGAGTGTATTTAATTGAAAACTCATCACTATTTTTTAATATTTATTTATGGCTTTTTATACAAACATATATTTGTATATAAGTAAATTATAATTCAAAATTTCAAAATTTTTTTAATAATTTTTAATGGAAAAAATTAAAAAAACACACGAACATCTTGGTAACATTATAATTAATTTGAATTTAATAAAAAAAAAAAAACGGAACTACGTAGAATTTAAAAAACAAATATCATCGAAAAAAAAAAAACAAAAAAAAAACGATAAAAAAATATTGTAGATATTTTTTTAAATCGATTTTCGTTGGTCTTTTCCTTTATTTTCTATGTTAAAGAAAAAAACTCCGTTTTTGAAAATTTCACAATTTTCCTCCGATTTTCAAATAAAATTTAGTCCTTGTTATACAGTATTTTCATTTTTTTTTACCGTTATATATTATAACGAGTATATATGTTGTATTTCACACGCTTTATTATCATTACTTAATTTTTTTTTTGCCTTTTAATTTCTAATAGAATTTCCTATCCGATTACGTTCCGATTTATTGGCACGTTTGCATACCAATGTTGAACTAAACATTATAATATTTTGCAATCGCATCAAATTTAGGACATCCTGAATCTTCATCCAACAATTTTTGTTTTTTTGTTTTTTTTTTTTTTTTTTTTGTATAAGAAGGAAGAGAAGAGAAAATATTTGAAATTTTTCAATTCATTTTTTTGTTATTTTGATTTTATTTTTTTCTCTGTTTGAGTACGATTTGCAGACAAGGAATATTCCTTCTGTTATTTGAGATAACAATTACTGTATAAACTCATTTCTGTAATCTGTAAGTCTTTAACAGAGAAGAGAAACTCTTTCTTTGTTCTTCTTTTGTGAGAGAAAAACACTTCACTTTCTCTCAATATTGAATGTTTTTATTTTGATTTTTATTTTTACTATGTTTAAAAAAATATGCAAAGCACGTTGTCGTTTACTTACAAACTAATATTTTTTTCAATGTTCTGCGTTTATTTTACAGAAATTTCTGTAACATTTTGTTTCAATTTTTTTATCTGTATACAAAAGATAACCGCAATATAGAACAAAAAAATAAAATTTGTGCGAAAATTCTTTGCTATTATTATTTTTATGTTTAATGTTTTCGTATATTTTCATTACGAGTTTTTCCTGCGAGTACGTATTCTCATAATTGCTACTGTTAAGGATGGTTAGTTTAAAATTTTTATTCATTTAAATTGAACATGTATGAGTGTGTGTAATTACCTTTTATCTTTCTTTTCTTATTTGAGAATTTCTGCAAGGTGATTATGTTCTTTTTTTTTTAGAAATGAAAGTGGAAATTTTGTACAGCTTTCTTTTTTGAATGTGGAAAACTATATTAGATAACACATAACATTACAAAAAGACTGATATAAGATGAGTGTAAGATATTATAGTATTATTCGAATGAATAGGGCAATTGTAAAAAGCATTCACGTAAATCCAGCTTCAAACCTAATAAAGGAAGATCTAGCAGAATTATATAAATGCTGAAAGTATTGTAATATATTTATGAGACCGCCGAGATTTTCGGGATAAGAGCAACTTTTAAATTTAAATTTTAATTCTAAATATTTGAAAATAAAATGTCCTAATAGTTTTTTAATATTTTCTAATATTTTAATATAATATGTAAGACGTTTAAGATGGTGATCTCGAAACAATGTCATGAAATTGATTCAGACAAACAAAACATTTTTTTTTGGATTGTCACTTTAACTGTTATATGGGACCTCACTAAAATTTAGTTTAGAGTCCCATTAATAGGTCACCATCCACTATTTTAATCAAAATATAAAAATTACAATCTCTTGAAAAGTTGCAAATTTTTTTAAGAATGAACTTAATTAGTGTTTTAGACAATTTCCCCACACAAATTATATTATTATTTGTGTATGTATTAAAACCATAGTAAAGAGACTACTTTTTGGGGTTAATGTTTTGAAGTATTTGTTGTTAATATTAATTAGATCTTTGTTAATAATTTTTTTTTAATTTATGTATAATATCTTTTTTTTGATAAAATATGAAAAATTGTTTTAAATATTTCAAAATATTATACTTATACACACATATAGCAATATACATACGAAAAGAATATATTTTGGAAAGGGCACAGATGGTTTTAAGAATTTTTTAATTATTTAGAAGCTCACAGTGAAATTTTTAATAAAAAATTTATAAATTAAAATATGCTCAATTAATTTAAATATATACATACTTTTAATTAATTTTGTTATTCAAGGTAAAACTCAAATTTTGTTAAATTACTTTGTGTAGACCTCCAAAATTTTGTTAATTTCACTTACCTGTAAAGAAATAAAAGATATAAAACTTTTAGTTATATTGTAATCACTTAATTTTTACTTATAATTTATTATGATGTATGCACACACATATTCTGGCAAAGAACTACGGTCTTAAATTTTCATTTGAATTATTGTATTTATCTCTGGAAACAAAAACACATTACTTAATAAAATACTTAATAAAAAACTATGTAGTTGATCTCGCCTTACCCCAAAATAAATGTGGAAATTTCTAAAGAATTTTCTGAAATAAATCTACGATACCTAAACAACGAAATTTCGTTGTATTATGCTAAACAATATGTTTAAGATCAAAAATTTGAAACATTAGAAGCTCGCTTTTAATTACAGCACTAATAAAAAATATTCTAAAGGATATGCCATAAAATTATTTTATTTGATATTTTTCCAAGGCAATTCCAGCCTTTTAAACATTTAAAAATATATAAATAAAAAACAAGTAAGTTTTACTCGTTTGTAAATTAATTTGCTTGCAGTACAACGCTTTAATAACAAGGACGATTTTCCGGAAAACGACAGACAAGTCTTCTTATAATATAATAGTAAACCCTTTTTTTTTATACGTGCTTCGTTCCTGGGAAGAGTATAGGGCTGGTGCATGATATTGTACATAACCATGAACCAGTTTCTTACGACATTGAATTTACTAGATAGGTGACGAGTCTACCGTAGTTTTTTTTATATTATTATATTAAAGGTTATTGATATTTACAATTTTATTTTGCAGTTATTTTTAATATTGGATTTGACATTTAACTTAATGTGTATAAAGCTATATAATATTGAATATAATTTTTGTAGTGACCTGACTGGGCTTTGAACTTGAGACCCTTGTGTTAAAAGCATTTTTAACTGATTTCTAAAACTTGTAAAGCAATATTCTTTATTTCAATTGTCAACAATACATTATAAAAATTTCCTATTCCAGCATTATTTGAGAGGAAACGAAAGCTCTGCATCAGATCAGAAATCTTAATCAGATTTCTTTAACTGCAAAGCTAATTACAATTAATTTAATGAAATATCGATATCCTGAGATAAAATGAAGTCATAAATTAATTTCATTTTTTTAAACGTGGTAAATGTTTTAAGATACTAGAAAATGAGAACTGAATTTACTAATAACATCTCAAATCTTTAATCAATTTCATCTTTAAACTTTTATTGAATTGAACATTTATTGAACATCGGTTTCACAGCTTCAACTAACAGCTTTTCTTACTTTCTTATCAAATTTTTTGTTTCTATTAAATTTATCATGCTTATGTCTACTATAAAACTTCCGGTTTTTTCATAACATTTAAAAACATTTTACGAATTAAGATGCGAAAAATTGATAAAGTAACAAAACACATGACAATTTTCAACAACTTTTTTCACATTTACTTTTTATTAAGGTTAAAAAAAAAGAAAAAACTGCTCACATGCTTTTAGAAAATATTGGAAAAGATAAAGGACAAAGGAAACAAGAAGAAGGATAATATTAATTCCCTTGATATTAACAGAGTGAGTCCAAAAGAAAAATAAAAAAACAGTACACATAGAAGAAAATTTTCTTAGCATCCTTTGTATACGTATTTGGTGTATTTGTAGCTATATTTTTATGAATATTCGACACATACTTACATGAACATTGAGTTGACTTAACGGTATATTAATGGTTAGCTAACTATAATAATATTGTACAAGTACTAATGAAAATAAAAGAAAATTTTCGCAAAAATTACAATGAAAAATGTGCGATGTTATGGTAGAAGGAAAAAAACGAATTTTTCTTCTTTTGCACAAAGGTAATAATTACTTAACACACTTTCGCACATTAATTTTCAAAGAATTACAAATGGAATTTGTAGTTCTTTCTTGAAAATTTCGTTTTCAACAACAATTCCAAAAGTAGTAATTAAAAAAAAAACAGAAATTTATAGAAAACTTTTTCTAAACATAAGGCAATTTTCGTCGCATAAATAAATGAAAATTAAAAAAAAAAATTTTAATGCTCTCCCAACTATTTCGCATTTAATTATTATCGTAAATTTAATCTTAACTAATTATTCACTAAAGTAAAAGTGAGAAAAGTTTTCTTTATATAGAATGCCAAAAATTCTTTTATATTTTACTTTTATAAATTGAAAACATTAATAATTTTCAGGGCACAATAATTTCTATATCCTCAGATATCGAAGAATTAAATAAAATATTTATTGAAAACCGTTCCCAAAAACAATTTAGACAACAGCGTTATATCATTTTTTTTTATATAAAATTACATAGTAAAAATTAGCCGATGAGTGGAGCAATCGTTAGTCTTATTCTTACCTCAAGAATTAAGTTTATTTTAAAACTGAAGGATACTTGTGCCAACAACTCGAAATTAATATATCCTTTTTAATTTCAATATAAAAAGTTTCGAAATGTTTTTTCTTAATATTGAAATTATAAATTAAATATTTTGGCATCAAATATCATAATTATGTGGAGTAATTCAGCGATACCTTTATTAAGAAAATGAAAAACACTAATTAAGTGGAAATTCTTTACAATTTCTTTATTAAAACTTGTATTTACACGTAAAATAATTTATTGTAGTAATTATAATTTTGAATTATTGATAATTAATAAATATTAATACTAAAGTGCTCGAGGTCACATTACAAAAACAAAAATCCCAATGAAGTCCCAATTACAATAATTTTCTATGAGATATCAAATAATAATTAGCAATTAAGGAAAAATATTTTCTAATTGAAAACAATAAATGAATAAAATTCTTGATAATTTAAGCCATGACATAATTTTCCACTTCTAATCATTGTTGTTTTCCTTGTTATAATAAGAAATCATGTAAAAGATATCACATATTTCTGCTAATTACCACAATACAATAAAACACAAAAAAATAGATATATTGAAGTCATATACGTATATATATGTTAAAACAGCAAATATTTCAATGTGAAAAACTCTTAAATAAAAATTATTTTACATACAATTAGCAATTATTATTTATTTTAACTGAAATCGAAATTAAGAGAAACAATAACATAATTCAGATCCTTTAAAAATATACAAAAAATAATATTGAGTTTTGACTTAAATATTTGAGTTTAAGGACCTAATTGCCTAATCGTCTAAGAAAACCAATAAATTTAATAAA